TCCCCTCCCTCTGCACACACTGTCACACAGTACTGCTCATTCACACAGCCTTTAATGCAGCTGACAAAGTTAATATTCAACTCAGTGCCAACTCTGCCCCACAGTAAAAACAAGCTCTCCATCTGTCCCTCCAGAACTGGTACAGTGAGGCACTCAATATTCCACAATCCCATGCAACAGTTAACCTGAACCTTTCCTAAACACCATCTCAGAGTCAGGCTGTCACACAGTACTGCTCATTCACACAGCCTTTAATGCAGCTGACAAAGTTAATATTCAACTCAGTGCCAACTCTGCCCCACAGTAAAAACAAGCTCTCCATCTGTCCCTCCAGAACTGGTACAGTGAGGCACTCAATATTCCACAATCCCATGCAACAGTTAACCTGAACCTTTCCTAAACACCATCTCAGAGTCAGGATAAACCCTAGGATTAAGCCTTCAGATAGTGTGGCCTTTGTAACACACAGGGTAGGGCTGTGGTCCCCACTTTGGGCTGATCTAGGCTGACCCACTAAACACACACAGCCTCCCCAGCAGCTCTGTGACAGTGAACACAGACCTCCCCTCCTGAGCCACTGATGCCTAGCACCCAACCTGGGCCAGGCACCCCTCCTGCTTCCCAGCCTTGGGCACCCCTTAGCTGGAAGGGGCACTTGAGGCATATTTTCTGGTAGGTAAAAGTGGGTAAAAAAGAAAAACAGACCTTGCCTGGGACCTTTCCCCCTCTGCACTCATGCCAGCACATCTGATTTCATGCTGGATGTCAGGAGCATCCTGCAAAGCTGCCCTGACCTTCCCACTCCCCTCTGAGAGATGCTTTCCAAGACACTCAGTGCCTGCAGCTTCACTGCAGAGAAAAGCCACCACTTCTCCCCAGAGCTGCTCACAAACATCACTGCTGATCTCAGGGGAGTGATCACTCCTCACATTCAGCCACGTCAGCACCAGAGTCCCAAAGCAAGTGAGTGGCTGGTACACGGGAAACAAAATCCTCACATAACAAATATTTTGTTCCAAATGCCTCTGGAATTTTGATCAAACACACCAAAAGTCTGAACACACTGTAATCTGCACCACACACCTACATCCAATTCTAAGACAATGTCAATTCACCTGTCAGACACGAGTAGAGTGCGGGAGGGAAATGGGATCTCACATGGCACAGCTTTCATGGAAATTGAGAAGATGCAATTTCACAGGATTACAGAAAGTCAGTGCAACTGTGACAAAAGGGTTTAGCTGTATTAAGTCTCCCAACCACTGCAGGGCTCTGTCACACACTGCTCAATGTCACTTCCTTCTGCTTTCAGCTGTGTCAACACCAGCAAGCAGCTGTGAGATACTACACAGGAGCTTTGGGGACACACTGGTGACCAAAGCAGCTGTGAGATACTACACAGGAGCTTTGGGGACACATTGGTGACCAAAGCAGCTGTGAGATACTACACAGGAGCTTTGGGGACACATTGGTGACCAAAGCAGCTGTGAGATACTACACAGGAGCTTTGGGGACACATTGGTGACCAAAGCAGCTGTGAGATACTACACAGGAGCTTTGGGGACACATTGGTGACCAAAGCAGCTGTGAGATACTACACAGGAGCTTTGGGGACACATTGGTGACCAAAGCAGCTGTGAGACACACACAGGAGTTTTGGGGACACATTGGTGACCAAAGCAGATGTGTGTGTGCTGTACAGACAGAAGGAGGACTGTCCAAGCTATTTATAACAGATATTTTCATCCCTCAGACTCAAAATAGTTAGAAGTCCAACCATTAAAACACAAATATTGAGTGTTTCTGGAGCATTTGTGCTGGAGAAAAAAAACAAAACCACACCAAAGGAACCCTTTCCAGGCCCAGAAAGGGCTCCTGCTTTATACAAAGCCCAGCACAGCTAGTCCTGGCTATAAATGCCATTATTCTTAAAAAGTTGTGGGGTTTTCTAGTTTTTTTGTTAATTTTGGTTTGGTTTGTTTTAAAAATAACTTCTACAGCAAGTCTCTTGCAGAGGAACAGAACAGAGCAAGATGGGGCCCTGGCAAGGAGGCACTATCATACATCTCTTGTCAAGTCTAATTGAATTTTTCTGTATGAAACATCTATTATTACCCACCTGGGGGGTTGTGGACAGATGGAAGAGTTTTCTTCCCCACCAAGCAATTCAAGACTGAGGATGGGAGAGATGGGGGAGAAAATAAGAATAATCTCTCTGACAATTCCCTGTTGCTTGCAGCCCAGCTGTTCTAACCAGTTGTAAAAGGGAGGATAGTTTAGGAGCTTGATTCCTCCTAAATCAAACAGCTTGTAGAGGCTGGGAATGGTACTTCATGAGAGACAAGACAGCAGAGCAACAGCCACTCCTGCAGCAGAGACAGTCAGCCTAAAGCTGCAGCTGGGATGGCCACAAGGCCAGGGATTCATCCTTGCACTTGGTCCCATGAGCCTGTCAGGGGTAGAAAACCTCCCCAGAACTGAAAAGCAGTGGAGTAGTGAAGCAGCATTCCTGGGGCACACACCTCCCTTGGCAGTGCACACTCCCACTCCTCCTTCACTGCTGTCCCACACTGTACAGATAACTCAGGGGACAAAACAGTCCATGTGGGAGCAGCATTGGCACTGAGCTAATCTCATCCCTGCTTCTCCTTCCATCCAGCTAGTTCCTCCTGATGTCCTTGGAGCAGTGACTGCCCTGGCCCCAATCTCCTTGCTTAGTAGGGAAGCACAGTCCTAAAGCTGCTTTCCAGCCACTCTGGAGTTAGAAAGAGAACAGTGAATTCAGCTGGGAAGCCTCAGGGATGCTCAGGGATGCACAACGACAGGGATGCTGGAAAGCCGCAAGGATGCTGTGCACAGCAGAGGCACATGAACACCCAGAACAAGACACACATGGTCAAGATTGGAGTGTGAACAAGGATGCCAGAGGACCAGAAGAGGCAGGTCCAGCCAGGCCAGCCGTGCCAGGCTCCCCGAGCCCGCGGCGGTGACAGCAGAGGGCACTCGGGCTGCAGGCAGCAGCCGCAGGTGGAGCATCTCTCTCTCCATATCGAGGGATGCAGAAAAGCGCTGAATGTGCCGCGTCCGTGGGTCTGTTTCCGAGCCACCGTTCACTGTGTTTGTTCTGGCAGCAGCTGAAGCACGACTGAGTGTTTTCTGCCTGTCCCATGGCAGTGCCTGCTGGCATGGTTTGCAGAGCAGCTTTCACTC